TTTTTTCCTGCCGTCGTAAAAACTCATCCGTGCCTCTGCGCTAGCTTCCAAATGAGAATCACATGCATAACCGGTCACTTCTACGAGAAAAATAACAGCACAGCACTAGTGTAAGCGATAACGAACGGTCGCTGCAAGGTGTGGCTTTACTACGATGATAAGGGTAGGTGCAAGGTCCGCGGGAAGCAGCCTTCCGACTTCTATTCCATTTCGCCTGCTGACTCTAAGTTACTGTCGTCATATTTGGAATGACTTCTCCGTTCACGAATTTCGGTCGTGGGAGAGAAGCGCGTGGCCGAGCTACATGGTCAAGACTTGCGCGATTACCCGATGGGCAGGATCTCTGACTTCCACAGCTAGTCCCTTCCGTAGTTTCTGAGGTTGTACACTTTTGGGATTCGGCACTGAGCGACTAGGGCGCTTCATCGTCAGCCCAAAACGCCATCGCCGAAAATTACCTCACTCTGCTCTCTCATCCTTTGTCTCTATCCTCTCGCGTGAGTAGCTGTGTCCCAGTTCTTGAAACGCTGGTCCATTCCTGAGCCTTACTTGGGGCTTCTTCTACGGCTTTGTCCACTCTTTTTCTCACTAGTCCGTCCAGCCATCTACGTACTCCTGTATAGACCCCAAAGCCCGGAAATTGTAGTCGTAGAATGTATGCTTAAATGCATTTACGAATACGAATTCGAATGTAAGCTTAGTGCACGGCGTATTTTGAACGGGCTTACGAGGCTATTAGATTCTATTGTAAGCTACCGTGACTCAGATCTCAGAACCTAGAAGGCTTCTATTTAGAGCGTTGGTCCTGTCCAAACAAGGCAGACTATCTGTTTCGCTGCTTGAACGCTGAAATCTCCCATCTTTCAAGGATGTAGTCTTGCAATTTTTCAATCGCATTTAATTTATATTGTCAAGGGCTCTATATGTAAGGCTCCAAATGTGATGGATGTTTTGTAGGTTCTAAACCGCTGCTGAGCAAATATGCGTGTTGCAGTTAATCTGAACATGTTTCATCCGGAGCTGCCTTTGCTTCAAAGGTATGTTTTTTCGAATTACCCTTCGAGATGCATACAATTTAGTATCTTGTAAAAGTCGAGGTTTAAGGTACAAAGCTGCAGCGGCAGCCGGTTTCCGACAAGTCGAAGTCTCTCTACCGTATTCAGAAAAAGCCGAAGAACTGAAAAACGCTGCAGATTCATTTGGTCTTGCTCATACACTCATAAATGCACCGACAGGTACTGCAGTTTTCACGTGTGATCTACTAGCCAAATGTAATGAAGGATTGGAAAGAGATGGTCGTGCTGCCTAGGTTTAAGAGGCGTAATTTGACGTGGGGTGAGGAAGTGAGAGAGAAAGGTTTATCACTATGAACTACAATTACTCCATTCGGCGCCACCACCATTTCCAACCACATGTATACTAGGGTGATTTGGCGTTCTGATTAGAAGTATCACGTTCGTAGAAATTGG